ACATTAAGATAATGATTCCTCATGCGATAAGCAAAAGCTAATTGAGGCAAGATGGAATAAATGATACCGTGGCTTTATCAACCAAAGCCAGGTGAAAACTAATTTATCCCATCCTGTGTTTACACAGTCTGCCTCTCCTCCAGCATTCTGCAGACTGATCACAAAGATCACTCCATTGGTTTCACTGATGGAAAGAGATCAGTTCAACCATCCCTGCCCTGAAATGCTGCCCCTTCTGGGGGGCTGGAATCTCAAACATGACATTGATGCTGACATCTGGGCTCTTCAAATGAGGACCATTAACATCTCACCAAAAATCTGCCCTGGAGAAATTGCTCAAAGAGTGTGCCCATTGACGAGTCACTAGTACCATCCTCAGAGGTGTCCCAGTCAACAGTTTGTTAATGATTTGCCTTAGCTTGTAGATCTGACTGGTTTTCAGAGGATACTCCTGACTGCAGCTGGGTTCCTGATGCCTGGAGTGAGCAGCCATCTCTCTGTCCTGCCATCGGTGGGACAGTGCTTGTGGACCCAACGCATGAAGCGCTTGGGTGGGCACCACCAACGCCTGTGCTTGGAGGTTGTGGGTAGGGTCTGGATTTTACAAGCAATGGGGTAAGCCCTGTAATTTCTCTGTGGGGAAACGCCACTGTGAACATGATTAGCTCTTCTTTCACCTACTGCCTATGAAAAAAGGGAAGTGACTCTGATTATCTGAAAATGCAAATACCCCTCTTTGTTTTCAAGGGTTGGTCTATGTGTTGCTCAGGCTCCTGCACTCCCCTGAGGCTATGCCTACATATGTGAATAGGATGGGGAAACATGGCAGGGCCACGTCAATCTTGTTAGCAGGGAAGATGAAATAAAATAGGCTTAAACAGTCAGGAGAACCACGGGAGGTACCTCCAGTCTCTGTTACCTGGTCAGACCCGTCCTTGCCAGCTGGCTGCAGCCAGCACAGGTACAGTAACATGCAGTCACCTTGCTCTGCTGTGCACACTTGCTGGGGAGAACTTGATGTGCACAAGTGTGAGAAGTCAGAGAGAAGCTGTTGCGTGTTTGGGTCAGGGTTTTTATGACACAGCTTGCTGTGAGCTCAAGTGATCAGAAACTAATAAATTAGCAGGAAAACCCAGTGATTCAGACAGTGTTTTAAGGCAGGCCAAAGCAGTTCATGCTGGCTGATGATTTAGCCCCTGCTGGGTTTGCACAGCCAAGTGTTTATGGACAGGTTTAGTGACAGCATCCTTCTCAGCTCAGGGCTGGGGTGATGCTGACTGAATCTGTGCTTCCCTCCTTCTAAAGACCTGTCTAGGCTGAGGGCATCTGCTTTGGGGAAGCTATGCACAGTGCAGAGGGGAATACACAGGGCAGAGAGCACGGCATGAAGGAGTTGGCTCATAGTGTGAGGCTGAAAAGCTCTCCTGGGGCAGGAAACCCTACCAGCTAGCACTAAGGTTATTTCTTTAAATCTGAACAGACATTTATTTTCCAAAACAGAAACATTAGTGGGAAACAGTGCTTTAAGAATGGTGTCTCCTTCTTGGGAGAACCTCTAATACCCTGATGCCCCTGGCTGGCAGCTTCTAGGGATACGAGCAAAAATCCCTTCCATGTGCAGGCTGTTCTGCATGGGGATAGATGTGAGCAGAGCAGGAGACCAGAAACCTAACTGAATGTTTCTGTAGGCAGCAAACACTAATCTTTGGAGGGGAGATTACAAGTGGCCAGTGGAACAGAGGTCACTGATGGAGAGAGGCACTCCAGGAGCCTTCTGTTTCCAGATGCTTAGAAATGGAAAAAGTTCCCTGGATTAACCTGTGTCTACATTAAGGATGGACTGGAGATCCACAGGGGATCCGTTTTCAAGGGAACTTTAGACCTGTTTCCACTGCTTTAGTCAATAATCAGCACAGCTGGAAGCACACCTTGATGCCATCTTCCATGCTGCCCTACTGGCACAGGCAGCACAGGTCCTTGGTGGGGCCTGGACTCTCTGCAGAGGAGCCGCACACTTGGCTGGCTGCAGCCTGTAAAGGACCCTGGTTTTTTTTTTGTGTTTTTTTTTTTTTTTTTTTTTTTTTTTTTGTTGTTTTTGTAAGTCAAGACAAATTTCTCTTGTTATTTTACTATTATTTCTAGGAGACACCACACTGAATTCTATTCCCAGTTACCACACTGACATTGAAGGAAGCTAAAGGGCAGTAACCAAGAGGCAAAATCTTGAACAATCAAAGCAAAAAGAAAACAACAACCACCAGCCCTTATCTCTCTGTTGGTATGGTGCAGAGCCAAGGCTACCCATTTACTGTATGTCTAATGGACTTAAAGAAGGCCAAAAATTAGTTTAATGCTGTTTTAAGGCACCTAGTCTAATATCATTACATTTTACCCAATCCAATAAGTAGTGCAAATACTGGGATATTGCTGAAATCTGTCCTCATGCATCATTAACTCGATCTGGCAGGGAGCCTGGCCCTGCACTCGTGCACAGCGCTGTGCAGGTGTGAGCATCAGGAGGGACCTGCTTCCAGTGGGGCTGACCTGTGCCCCACAGAGGACCCTCAGGTGGGGATCAAAAACTCGTCAAAACACTGAGACTTGTGTTCTCACTTAATCACCAGATAAAGGTTCTACTAGTTTAAAAAGCAGAGTTTTAGGGCTTCTTCTGCTGTTCTCAGCTGTTCTCGCATCTCTCCCTTGCCTGCTGGAGCCAGCAGTGGTTTAAATGCCTCCTCTTCAAACACATGCCAGCCAGCTCAAGAGCAATACTTCTGGGAGGTGTGGTACAACAGTGCATGAAATAAGCAGCAGTTTATACTATTTGAAAAATGTTTTTCTGCTTCACCTCTAACAAAGTTGATTGCATTTTCCATTTCACCTCCTTCACGGCTTTTCTCTCTTGCTTAAGTGTTCTGTGACAGGGGAATTACCATGGTTTCCCATTTAAGAGGTGGAGGGAACAGCTGAGATAATCTAGGAACAAGTCTGTAATAGGCACCCACTGACACAGGAGTAGAGCTCTCGACACGTCAGGCCGAGCTGTCAAGCCCTGCCGTAGCCACTGAGACTCGTCCTGCAAAGTCTGCTTCCACATGAATAAAGAGTTCCACTGAATGCAGTGAAGTATTCCTATTCCTGAAGGGCTTCACTGCTTTCCAGGTATAACTGATGCTCCAAAACCAATGTAAAGCCCTTTCCAATGTTCCTGCTGTGCTGTGGGAGGGCAAAGGTGGCACCCGGTGCCTGCAGGCAGCAACCCCTGGCAAGGGCACACCTGTCTGCCTGCTCCAGCCCAAGGGCTGTGCCTCAGCTTCAGCAGCTCAGCCCCAAATGCCTGCCAAGATCTTGGCAAAAAAATTTGTTGTCAATATCTGTAAAATGCATATGGCAAAGTTCAAAAAAATCAGTCACTAAAAGCCAGCTCTTAGGAATTTCCTCTTCCCTCCTTCTTCCTAGCAGTGCCAGCAGCTCCCTGCTCTGGCAGCCTCGTGCCTCTCATTCAGTTTTGGGCACAAGACAAACCACAGAGTAAGAAAACTAAGAGTTTTCAGCAAAACCTTCAGTGTCAGTACTTAATCAATCTGAGACTGGGCTATGATCACCACAATGTAGGAGAAAACAAACCGAACTACTGCTTTAATGACCTTATTTGTTGTTTTTCAGATTTCAGGTCTGAAAACCAACCAGGCTGTGCTTAACTTGGTGCTGAGGTGTGACTGCACTTCCATCTGACTCGAGGACTTAATCTCATGAAAAGAACTGCCAGTGTTACAACCTAAGCTCGTTCTTCATAAAAGAATTGCTGACTGGTGTGTTAGGAGCTAATGAATTTTACAGTCCGAGAAGCCTAAGATAACAGCCCCTCCTTTTTCATCTCAGAGAGAAAGAGAGAGAAAGACAAAGAAAGAAGACAGAGAGCAATTGCTGTGTAAGATGTAAGTACTGTTAGGCATATTGTATTTGTCAGGATGCAAGTCCAGTGATTTAGGTGGGAATACTGGTAGGCATGCTGAGGCACCTCTGAACTGTGTCACTTAATCGCTGAACAGTACAATTATTAATTAATACCTTAATTAATTAATAATATAATTAACTGAACAGCAAGTAATAATTTAAACTCATTTTCTCATGACCATCATGCAAGTCAGGGTCTCTAATTTTCCAGTTGGCATCACTCCTGTGGTTGCTCCCGTGCTGAGGGACAGACATGCAGGTGGTGAGTGCGACTGACCCCGAGGTGGTGACAGCGGCTGGGCCCCCCCGAGACAGGGTGTGCACACTCTGAGCTTAGAAAATCTGGCCAGGAGAGTTTTTAGAGAACATCTTAGAAGACAACATAGGAAGTTAGTAGAGAGGAGAAGACTAATGACAATGGAGAGACACAGCAAACCAAGGAGTTTACAGTTGGCCTGGCAAACCACTACTGGACCAGCAAAGCCAGTAGACAACAAACAGGTGAGGCAGGAAGCAAAGAGCTCCCTTAACTTCTGAAAAAAAACCCCAATGCCTGTACAGAGTGGGGACAAACCTGCCTGGAACTGACCTGAGCCAAGCATTGACGAGTCCTCTCAAAACCCATATATAGGCCTAGTTGTGCCATGGTACTTTGGTAAGAAATCAATATGTCTATGACATTGTGAAGCTTTGTAGAACCTGAAAAATGACCTCTCTGACTTTCCCTCTTTGTTCAGTATTCCCGAACCTGTAGCTGCAAGAGTTATTGCAAGAGACAATTAACACTGGCTGCTTCGCCAGTTGAGACTCTGCCTAAGACCTGGCATGGCATTGATTAGTTGGCTGTAGCCTGCCTGGGTGGGGAAATGAATCTGACATTCGAGAGATATAATGTCTTTACTAGGACACTTTATTTCCTAGAGCTGATGCTACTGTGCTGTCCTTAAAAAGTATCAGGTAGCCCCAGGAAACAAGAGTGTCCCCTTTCCGGAAGCAGGAAAGGGGTATCTCCCTCTCCAGTTCCAGAATTTTAGCCATCTTTGTTTTTTTGCTAATGGGAGACTTTGGGAATTAGCAGAACCCCTACACACCTCCGCACTCACTCCCATTTCAGCCTGAGATAAACAACTGAGATTTCTGCCCCCAGGGACAGCTTCTGGACATCAGACTGGAGACACAAGATCAAATTCATCTCTGGTGCAATTCCACTGGCTTCAACCACATTAGACCAGAGATTAATTTGGCCCACAGATACATTAAGAAAGGATACAAAGCACAAACGGTATTTTATATAAAAAGAGAAAGGAGAGGGGGAAGTTCAAGGGGACGCTGGATCCTAACCCAGCAGGATTCAGCCCAGCCCACTCCACCCTCACATCACCAGGCACAGTGCGTGTTGCCGGTTACCTTTTTGCTTACTGACTTTCTTTACTGTCATTGCCGCTTGCCGCTTTTGATTTTCAGAAATTTCAAAGCCTGGAAAAGGGAACACGGCAAACACAATTCAGAAGGTTGTTTACAAAACCTCATTTTCTTTTGGGGAGGGGAGAGTGCTCTGCACTGTTTGGCAAACACAGGATGCCCTAGGTGGCCAAGGGTCACCCAGGTATGGGCAGGTATTCTACGGAAAAGCAACACTTTGTTGCAAGGACAGGCCTCTTTATAATCTCACTTGTGCAGGGGCTGTATGAAAAGTAAGATTAGACCCATTATTATTTATACAGTACCATAAATATGCCCAGTGCTTTACAGCTGAGCAACAAACTGAGCCTGACCTGACACTGGTTACAGTCAATTTATGGGCCGATGTGAGGGAAGGGTGTCACAACTGGTAAGTCACTGTCTTTGCTGCCCTCCCACCCTGCGTGAGACATGCTTAACCAGAGCAGAATGATGTAGCCAGGACACTCTGAAGTCAGATGGCCAAAGACTTCCCTCTCCCACATACCCACAGAGGTCCAGGCTTGAAGCTATGGGTGGAATTTGTTTATTGAGGGCCAAAACCAACAGTAACTGATTGGAAAGAGACCTGTTTATGACTATGAGAGCCACCAAGGACATTTCAACAAGGTTGAACTGTAATTCTACTACAAAAAATATGTGGGCTTCTCCACCCATTGGGGCTAAATTAAGCATTACCAACAATCTCCTTTCAGATTCATTTCCATATTCCTCACCTATCTTTTCATCTTCTTTTACCATCTTCCTTTCTTCTCTGAAAGCTCTAAGCCATCGTAACTTCTCCTCCAGTTTCTTGGCAAAGAATAAGTGCATTTCCTCAGTCTCCTTGTTGTGAAGTTTGAAGGCATTCTTCATGCTGACATTGAAGTCATCATCTCTTCCATCTTCTATATCCACCACTTCGTATTTATCCATGTCTATGCGCCCTTTGTAATACAGAATATCTCTTCGTATCAGATCCTACAGAGAGAAAAGGAGAGAGGGTTGACTGTAAGATACTTACGGAGCCTGAGCTCAGCAGGGAATTCCTGGGAGAGCTGAAGAAAAGAAAGAAGTAATGGTGAAACCTGGTCAGATTCTTTGAACCTCACCTGCTGTGAACACATTTCTTGCTGGCCAAACAAACAGGGTAGATCACAAGCACAGAAGAACAAAACACCCATCCTCATGCTGCACAAATTTCCTTGTAGGCATGAAGAAATGTCTCTGAGTAGGGAACATACTTCCATCATTTTCCATGAAGGAAGGTTGTGTTCCATAGCTTGAGAACCACAAGACCCAGGCCGCTGGCCTGATGGGATTCCTGTGCTGCCAATCAGGCTGTGTACAAGCATAAATCTAGAGAAATCAGCTCGGGCACGTCTGGCAGCAAGATCTGTTTTCCAAACACATTCTCAGAGTCAGGGGAGATAGGTCTCTGCCCCTTCTCCTTGGAATCCATTTCCCATTCATACACAGCTCACTGGTGGGAAATCACCCTCATTCTCAGGTCAAAGCACTCCTAACCTGTCTCTGTCTCATTACACCCTGGATTTAATTTCTTGATCCAGCTTAATTTTTTCCTTTTTCCCTCCTGGATGTTTATAACCGTTTTCAACTAAACCTGTTCCTACTCATCTCCTTTCTTAGCTGATTATTCAGCAACAGCTCATTTCTCTACGCTGGGAAGGGAAAAGTAAATTCCCCTTCATTATCAGTTTCCCAGAGCTCCTCTGAGCACACCCCCAGCTCCAGGGCTGTTTGACAGGCCCAGCGCAACCTCCGCTGTGTGCCGGCGGCGCGGTGTGTTGGCTACCATCAACCCCCACCAAACCACAGCGAGCACGCGTTCCCGGCAGCAGGGAGGTGGAGGTGGCACTAAAAAACTCTGCTTTGAGATCTGTTGTGTCAGCTGCTCAATCATACATGTGAAACTGGATGCTGACAAACTCTAGTAAAAAACCAAATCATTTCCATTTTCCTCCTTACCCTCTTCCTCCTTATTTTGGCTTTGCCCATCAAATTTTGCACTGCCTTTACTTGAACTATTCCTGATTTATACTGCACTAAGAGGAGCAGTGGCCTCACATCTCTGTGTCTTTAAAGGAACAGATGACAAAAGGTGATCACCAGAAAACAGAATGTTAATTCTGCAGTCACGACCACATGAGGTGATCCAAGTTTCAAGGTACACATATTTAAACCACCAAATTCAGCAACACACAGGCAAAATTCCCTTCCTCTAACCACTCTCAAAAGCCAATACTGAGGTGTCTTAAATCAATTTAACTTAAGTATGTTTTGATTTTTGAGAGTGCCCTAATGATAAATGCTATGTCAAGGGATTCATATAAGAGGAAAAATGGAATCAATGTGCAGCATTTATTTACTCAAATAATATTTAGCAGTTTTTTAAAGATGAGCAGTAGGTATTATTTTAAACAAATTAATCTTGGAAAAGAAACTCTACTCCTTGATTTATTTAGCAAACTAGCTCATGGATCTGCCAGACAGAATTACTCTCATGAGGGAGTAACTCTCACTGGCCAGAAGCTTGTAGCTTTTAAATCCTGACTCTTTCCTCTGGAATGCTCTGGGCAGGAGGGAAGTTCCATTAACAAATATCTTGTACAAATACCTTCCTCTAGTGTAGGCTTTGAGTAGTGATGCTGTCTAATACATAAGAAAAGGGTATTTCAGGCTGAATAGGCAATAGAAAATCTTTTATGTTTTGTCCTAACTTGGGAAATTGCTTCTTTCCCTCTGTGCCCGGGAAGTGCTGTGGAAAGGCTGTGAGCATCACATGGAACCTGATCAATCAAATCAATACCACACACTGTGCTTAATGTGAGTCTGGGGCTCGTTCTTGGAAATAGCATTTATCTTCACCACATTCTCAAAAACACTTGATACCAAATCTCACAGGAACAAAGATGTGCTCCTTAAATTAGCTGTACAGGAGCCATTCTCCTTCCCACTTCTGCTTAGAACTTCTGAAACACAACCCCAACAGACTGTGCTCGTGAGTGACATGGGTGAAGATGGATCCAATGGACTTTTCCAGGCAATTTTCATTACTGTGTTCATAAAGGCATTGCAAGAATACATAGGCATGACCCTCCTTCTCACCTGGCTCTGAAAATCCCATGCTCTGTGCACTGGTTTTTTCCTTACACACACTAAATACATTTTCCCACTCTTATCTCTCCAATATTGATTCAGAAAACATTATGAGCTATTTTCAACAGCTAATGCCAAGTGAATGCTTTAACACCTTTGTGCTGTCATTAAACTTCCAGAAGGCAATCCATGGGGTTTGGACGTGTCTGACTGAGCTGCTCCACACATTTTCCCTCCCAGGCTGTGGCAGGAGCTGTCGCTGCCTCCCGCGAGGCTCCCGCAGAGCGTTTCAGCGGCTCCTGTGCTTCACAGGTGTTGCTGAGTATTGGATGTGAAGATAACAGTGTTGCCTAGGAGTTACTGAAGGAGCAACAAGGAGATAATGGAATCCAACAAGTGCTTCTGGAAATAAAATGGCCCCACAGAGTACTGTTGGTGAAATGCACTAGCAGGAAAGAACCAGCTCAGCTACCAAGTCTGTCTGCAGAGAACATGAGGGAGAAACACCACGGTTTGTCCTTGAGCGCTGAGCAAGCACAGGGGCAAATGAGGGAAAGGCAACAAGCACAAACCTCCTGTCTGCCACTGTTACTGTCACTTAGACAAGAAAGTTCAATAATGACTCTAGAAGAAATGGATCATCTTTTCTCCCACTGCCCCCACAATGCGCTGCAGTGCGTTTCCTTCACAGTCCCACAAAAGAAGGACCTCACTCATTGACCATACACTCCAGCACTGGTATCCTGAGTTTGTAAGAGCCACTTTATTTTTCTCAGAGTGGTAAAGCACTCTTGGTGACTAGCACATTTCTGCGCATGGAGGACACTTTGTACACACCTGGTTCCAGACAGTCCAGTCCAGCAGATTAACAACTATGACTGGATAATGCCATTTTTAATGGCTAGGCATTTCCTATTATCACTGCTCAATTCTTCTTGACAACACTCAACAAATGAATTCCTGATTGACTCAATTTTAACACTCATAACATGGGAAGCAGAATAAGCATTTGATCTGTGAGTATTTTATCACACCACAGCGCCTGAAGAATAGCAGATACGTCTTAGCTCCATAGTGAAGCACAGGCCTCTCTGAATGGCTTACAGTGTAACTGGGCTCAATAAAATTTAGGTATTCATCTGAGCTACATGAGAGACAGCAAACAAGGCCAAACCCTTGTTTTAAGGAGCTTTCTATGTATGTGGACAAGAGAACAGAAACTGAGTGAACACAGGCTGTGAAGCAATACTGTTTGTGTGCTCTCTGCTGGGTGCAGCCAGGAACCTGCAGAAGAGAAATGAT